TTTTCGTCGAAAATCCCCCTGTAGGGGGACACGCCCGACATAAGGCCAGGTGTCGAGTGTTGCGCTAAGTCGGGCGTGTCCCCCTGCAGGGGGATTCTGGGCGAAAAATCAAAAAAAAGATACTCCAAAAAATTGCCCCCAAAATGGGCAAAAAAATAGTCAACAAATATCGTCCCCCGACTATTGTTTTACTATTTTTGCATATCCCTCCTGTAGAGGGACAGGCCCGACTTGAATGTAGCAGTGTCGGTATCTTCTTCTGCCCCCGGAAACTGGCGGCGGCGGCGGCGGCGGTGGACCGCCAGTTGTGGGTCCCAGGCATTATTCACGCTTCGCGTATCCCCGCCAGCGTCCAGCTCTGCTCCGCGCTAGGTAATTTGGCCCCGCGCGGCCCGCTCGGACCTTACTCGCCGTTGGCGCGCTCGCCTACGGCTGCTAACAACAAAAGGTATCCCCGCCAGCCCATGCACAAACCCTGCCCATGAGAGTTGACGGGAAAAGGGGCGAAGGGACACATGCAATTAGCGAAACAATGCGGGCAACCAGGGTGAACAGAGAGATCTCTGGAGCGAGGGGATGGCCTTGGAGGGCCTCTTCGGACCATCCCTGGGGCCCGCGTGGGGGCGAGGGACGGAGAAGGAGGAGGAGGAAGGCGAAGAACCGACCACGACGGCGACGAGGAAGAGGAGGAAAATGAAAAGGAAGAAGATGAGGGCGAGGACGAGGAGGAGGAGGAGGAGGAGGACAACGAGGACGAGGACAGAGCCTTCAAGATCGCCACGTGGAGCTCTCTTGGGGCTCTTTTGGGGGATCTTGGGGTCCTCTTGGGGCTCTGTTGGCGGTCTTGGGGCCCTCTTGGGGGCCTCTTGGGGCTCTCTTGGGGGCCTCTTGAGAGTCCTGCAGGGCCTCTTGAGGCCATCTTGGAGGCTAGATCACAGGAGGGGAAGTATTCGATTTGCCTCCCCCCCGGGGCCATCAAAATCGCCTCTGAGGGCCCTCTTGGGACGCTCTTGGGCGCTCTTGGGGCCGTCTGGAGGGGCTCTTGGGCCCCTTCGTGGGCCTCTCTTGGGCCATCTTGGGGCCATCTTGAGGCCTTACAAGCGCATCGGAAGCGAAAAGGCGAGAAGGCAAAACTTTGTGATGCTCTTTCGATATTTGAAGGAAGTTGGCCTCCTGGGGGGTCCTGAGGGGGCTCCAAGAGCACTTGGAATTTCTTGTGGCCCTCGCCAGGCCTCTTGGAGGCATGTGTGTATATATATATATATATATATATATATATATATAAATGTGTGTGTGTGTATTGAACCATGCCCGGTTATCTGGAGCCATCTTGGAGACCATCTTGAGCGCCCTGACACTTCGCGGCCCGCTTTAAAAAAAAGTCTGGGAGAGGAGGGGGAGGGTACCCCTCCCCGAAGGGAAAATGGTTGTTTGGAAGAGGAAAGAACTCGTCAGACCACCTTAGCCCAAAGGGCTGGAGGGATCGTTCATGGCGCCAGGGCCCGATAACGGGCCCCACTTGGACGACCGCTGGGGTTACTAAGGTGGAAGCGGGGTCTCTAAGTTGATGCCAAGGTGGGCTATCATATCTGACCAACCCTTGCTGACAAGTGGGTTGCATGTGCCCAAAGCGGCTACGGGGGACAAAGATCTGGGCTGAGTGGACGGAGCCCACTTAGCAGAGTTACCGAACCGCTTTCAAAAACTTCTGGGCATTTGTGACCCATTCAAGACGGGTGGTTCGGTCATGTGCGACCCACATTCTGGCATCCACGCATGGCCCCCTGAATCCCTTCAGCAATCTTGGTGGTGATCCTAGCAGACGCCGGCATCGAGGAAAAAACGCTGCTGAAACTTATCCTTGCGAGGGGCCCAACCGTATGCAGTCGTGAGTGCCGCAGGGCAGGCGGGACGATCGAGGGGGAACTCCCTAAGGGCCCGCGAACCGCGTGAGACGGGCGAACTACGTGAGAGGTGTGCCAACTTAAGGTGTGTGCCGCATGCGGGCTGCGGGGGAGACACATGCGATGACGGCTGCTGTGACCACGTGTGAGGGGCGTGCCGAAACGAGCGGGGGAGAGGCGCGCACGAGGACGCAGAGACCTTCGGCGGAGCTCCCTTATGGGGCCGCGAAACGTGCGAAGAGTGCGCCGACATGGGTGGGTCGGACGCATGCGGGCGGCGCCCCTGAGACCTTCGGTGGAGCTCCCTATTGGGCCACGGTCCTCGTGAGGGGTGTGCTGAAATCGGTGGGTCGAAATGGGTGGGTCGGACGCATGCGGCCGACACCCCTGGAACCTTCGGTGGAGCTCCCTATGGGGCCACGGTCCGCTTGAGGGGTGAGCCGAAATGAGCGGGTCGGACGCATGGCGGCGGCGCCCCTGGGACCATCGGTGAACTTTTATATGGGACCACGATCCTCGCGAGGGGTGTGCCGAAATGGGTGGGTCGAACGCATGCGGGCGACGTCTCTAGGACTTGCGGTTGGGCTCCCTATGGGGCCACGACCGTCGTGAGGGGTGTGCCGACATTGGTGGGTCGGGCGCATGCGGGTGGCGCCCCTGGCACCCACGACCCTGGTGAGGGGTGTGCCGAAATGGGCGGGTCGGACGCATGCGGTCGGCGCCCTTGGGACCTTGAGTAGAGCTCCTTATGGGGCCGTGATCTTCATGAGGAGTGTGCCGAAATAGGTGGGTCGGACGCATGCGGCCGACGCCCCTGGGACCTTCGGTGGAGCCCCTTATGTGGACACGATCCTCGTGACGGGTGTGCATAAATGGGTGAGTCGAACGCGTACGGCTGACGCCCATGGGACCTCCTGTGGAGCTCCCTATGGGGCCACGATCCTCGTGAGGGGTGCCGAAATGGGTGGGTTCGACGCATGCGGGCGGCGCCCCTGAAACTTTCGGTGGGGCTCCCTACGGCCCACGATCCTATGCGCGGGTCGGACGCATGCGGGCGGCGTCCCTGAAACCTTCGGTGGACCTCCCTACGGGCCAAAATCCTCGACACGGGTGTGCCGACATGCGTGGGTCGGACGCATACGGCCGACGCCCTTGGGACCTTCGGTGGAGCTCCTTATGGGGCCACGATCCTCGTGAGGGGTCTGCAGAGATGAGTGGGTCGGACGTGTGCGGCCGACCCCCTGGGGACTTTCGGGGGAGCTCCCGATCGCGAAGCCGATGGCGATGATAACGTCGATGATGGCGAAACGTGCGAAGGGTGTACGGAAGCTAATGGCAATGCTAACCGCGATGGCAATGGCGATGATGATAATGTTGATGCTGATGCTGGTGGTGATGATGATGATGATGATGATGATGATGATGATGATGATGATGATGATGATGGTGATGGTGATGGTGATGGTGATGGTGATGGTGATGGTGATGATGATGGTGGTGGTGATGGCGGTGATGATGGAGCGGAGGATGATGTTGGTGATAGTGGTGATGTTGATGCGTTGATGGTGATGTGATGATGATGTTGATGATGATGAAGATGGTGATGCTGATGATGATGAAGATGGTGATGGTGATGATGACAATGATGTTTGTGGTGGTGATGATGATGCTGACGGTGATGATGATGATGATGATGCTGATGCTGATGATGATGGTGATGATGATGTTGGCGATGATGATGCTGTGATGGTGCCGATGATGATGGTCATGATAATGTTGATGCTGATGGTGGTGGTGGTGATGTCGATGATTATGGTAAAGATGACGACGACGACGGTGATGGTGATGGTGATGATGATGCTGGCGATGATGATGCTGCTACTGCTCACGCTGATGCTACTGCTGATGCTGCTGATGGTGGAGATGGTGATGATGATGGTGACTGTGCTGGTGTTGGTGATGATGATAGTGATCCGTCGACGCGCAAACGGTGTGTTCGCTAACGGCGAAGTCGGAACACCACTTGTAGGAAGGCGTGGTTCGTGGCCAAACCAATTGTAGGAACGCGTGGTTCGCGTTCTCCTACAACTCGCTGTGTCGTTTTGGTGCGATACATTTGCACATTTGACATGTAGAGAACGGTGCTTCGTGATGTCCTACATTTTGTTTTGCGTGAGCTCGATGTCACAAAAACGAGATTCCCAACCGCACCGTTAACGAAGCACGCCGTCAGCGCGGCCTTGGGTGATGGTGGCGATGATGATGATGGTGGTGATGATGATGCTGATGCTGATGCTATTGGTAATGAGGAGGAGCAGGATGATGATGTTGATGAGGATGAGGATGATGGTTATGGTGATGATGTTGATCAGATAAGATAAGATAATGACTGTTGTGATGGTTACCTAGGATGATGATGATGACGCTGGTGATGGTGATGTTGATTGTGACGGTGATGGTGATGGTGATGATGGTGATGTTGACGATCTTGATGATGATGATGATGATTGTGATGGTGATGATGATGATAAGAATGATGACGATGATGATCATGATGATGATGATGATGATGATGATGATGATGATGATGATGATGATGATGATGATAATGTTGATGTTGACGATGACGATGATGATGATGAGGAGGAGGAGGAGGAGGATTATGATGATGATGGTGATGGTGATGATGGTGATGATGATGATTACGGTGGTGGTGGTGATGATGATGATGTTGGCACGCGAAATGCAGAGGCAGGGATGGGAGGAGGGAGGAGGAGGAGGAGGAGGAGGAGGAGGAGGAGGAGAGGAACCCGCGGGGGCTGTCTCTTCAAAATGAGGACCCAACACCACAGGATGGTTGGGAAGAACATTTTGTCGGAGATCCCTGAGATCTGACAAAGGGAGCCCTAGGCCCCACCTTTCTGCGCCATTTTTCGAGACGCATCGATCTGGCATAGCCTCTGGGCCCGAAACCAGGCGAGAGCGCCTGTTGTGACAAAAACTGCAACGCCCGGCTCTGAGGGATCTGAGTTGGGCACCGGCGGGCTCTTTTCGTCTGGGCAGCAGCGGCGGCGCCGGGCCGCCGCGGCGGCGCAGGACGCGGCCGAGGCGAGGTGGCCACCAGACGCCGAGGAGCGCTGGGCGCAGCAGCTCGAGGCCGAGAGGCTGACGCGGGCGGCGCACCTCGCAGAGCTGCACGCGAGGACCTCGGTCGGAGCCCCGAGTCGTGACGGCCAGGGGTTACCGGCTGGAGCCATGCGCCTATCCCTATGTTTGGCATCGCTATGCCCCAGTTCCGATTGCAGGGAGTCCCTCCGTTTCTGAGGGCACATCCCTACGGCTGTCATCGTCTTGGGCTCACCGATCTCGGGGATAGGGATACGCGCAAGGCTGGTTAAGGGCGGAGGGGGGTCAGAGGCTACTCTCGGTCACTCGCAGCGGGTGGGGCAGGGGGAGGGGGGAAGGCTTCTGAGAAGGAGGCTGCTGCTCAGGAGGCGCAGGCCTCGTCCACAGGTGTGAGGCCGGCGCCTTCTGAGCAGCAGCCTCCTTCCAGCAAGCCTTCCCCCCTCCCGCGACCTCCAGTCTCCTCTGAGCCTTCCCCCCTCCCGCGACCTCCTGGCGCACGCCGCCAGCACTCCCGCTTCGGGAGGCGTCCTCCTCGCGGGGCCAGCACTCCCGGCGGCAGCAGGGAGCGGACCGCTCGCCCCGCGAGCCCCCCCCCCGCGGGGCCGCACACCGAGAGGGAGAGCCCCGGAAGGCGGCAGGCGGCCCACGAGCGCGCGGCTAGCCCGCGCGCGCGGGCCAGGCGCGGTCGCGGAAGTCGTGCCCGCCTGGAACATATCCCTATACCTATGCTGGGCATCTCCTCGCCACGATGCCAATCTTAGGGATTCCCTTATTGTTTGAGGGCGCATCCCTAAAATTGTCATCGCCTTTTGGCGTGTCAGCCTCAGGGATAGGGATAAAGTTCGAGGCTGGTAAAAGCCGTGCCCGCGGACACAGCGCTCTCCTGGGCCCGAAGAAGCACGAAGCCACACAAACATGAACTTGTGGCGCTCCGCGCGGGGCCCCAGGCGCGGATCCAAGAAATCCGCGCGGAATTCTGAAAGTTTATGATTATGTGTTTTGTGGTTCTCTATGGTTTGCACTCAAGCCGAGTTTTCTGGCTCACATTCTGCCGTGTGTCCGGTCTGCGGTCGACCTACACAGTATGTTGGGCGATGTTGTGGGCCGTTTTCGTTTCGATTCCGTTTTGTAGCCAAGGCGGATGGAAGACAAGACACGGGAAAGCGAAAACAAAGCGACAGCAAAAATCATGAGGTCGATCCCTGTGTCTCCAGTACGATCTTAAAGCATGAGTTATCCCTGACCATGTGGTTCTAGGGTATTCTGGATCGCATGTGGGGGCCACGGACTTGCGCGTCTGGGCGCAAGCCGATCCGATCAGATTCCTGCTCCGAGCCGGAGCTGTCCGATTCGATGCTCGTTCCGATCTGGTCTGGTTTTCCGATTCGATGCTGACTGGATTTGCCAATCACCTTGCCCATCCTGGCCCAGAGTTAAGTCGGGCCTGTCCCCATACAGAAGGATTTTCGACGAAAAATTAAAAATACCCCCAAAATAATCAAAACATAGTCCAAAAATAGTCTGGGGACTAGTTTGGGTTTTGTTTACCTTTTTGGGGTATTTTGCGGGTATTTTTTATTTGTCGTCGAAATTCCCGTGTAGGGGGACAGGCCCGACTTAAGCCCAGGGCCCACCTTCACCGGACTTGCGCACACGCCCTCCCGGCCAGGCCTGGGAGGCGTGCGCGCCGATGTCTGGGGCCAGGATATATCGGCGAGGTGGACACCCAGCGCTCCAACGTGCACTCCTGGAGATCTCTGGAGCTCCTCCTCTCCTCCTCCTCCTCCTCCTCCTCTCCTCCTCCTCCTTCTCCTCTCCTCCCTCCTCCTCCTCCTCCTCCTCCTCCTCTCCTCCTCCTCCTCCTCATCCTTCCTCCCTCTCCTCCTCCTCCTCCTCCTCCTCCTCCTCCTCCTCCTCCTCCTCCTCCTCTCGGGGGGGGGGGAAGGGTATCAGTGGCACGCCGCCGCGGGGCCCCCCCCAGGCCCCATCGGCCCATCGGCGTGTTACTCCCTCGTTCCTTCCTCCGGAGCAGACCACGCACATCGACAGCAGCACGCCGATGGGGCCCTGGGGCCCCCCGCGGCGGCGTGACACTGATACTCTTTCGCTCCCCCGATCCTCATCCTCCTCCCCCATCGTCTCTGCCCTCTGCCTTAGAGACCCCCTCTCCAGGACCGGCGGTTCATCCCGGGTCGTGCTCTGACGGCCCCAGAGCGCGGCGCGAGGCGATTTGGCCGTCGGGCTCCGGCTCGGGCCCTCGGCGGCCGATCGAGACGACCTGGGCACCCCTGAATCGGTAACATTTTCAAGAAGCGACGAAAACATCCGACGACCCCCGACGATGATTACGACGACGACGACGACGACGACGACGACGACGACGACGACGACGACGACGACGACGGCGGCGGCGGCGGCGGCGGCGGCGGCGGCGGCGGCGGCGGCGGCGGCGGCTGCGACGACGACGACGGCGGCGGCGACGACGGCGACGGCGACGACGACGACGACGACGGCGGCGGCGACGACGGCGACGGCGACGACGACGACGACGACATCAGCGACGGCGACGACGACGGCGGCTGCGGCGACCTTTTCGAGAGCGAGGATCGGGCGCGACGTGGCCGACGTGACGTGCCGCCTGGAGCAGCAGCGGCTCGCCCTCCTGGAGGACGCCGCCCGCCTCGACCGCGCGACGCGCGAGGCCCTCGACGGCCTGCGCAGCGCACAGGCGCACGCCCAGGAGGCGCACGCCGGCGAGCTGACGGAGATCGGGCGCCGTCCGTCGGCGTCGAGGGCAGTTCGGGTTCGAGGCGCGAGGTCTTCCCAGGTTTGCGTCGCTCGCTGCTCGGCCGTTGTCCAGCTTCGCGGTGGTTGAGGTCCGAGGGCTTCACACGTTCTCGTCGCTTCTCGGCGGCTTTCCAGCTTCGGCATGCTTTCCAGCAGCTGCGCCTGGTCGAGGGCTTTCCGGGGGCGCCCAGATCGTCCCGAACGGCTGCCGGACGCCCGAGTTTTGACCCGAAAACCACCAGCAGAGGGGGCGGGCCTTCTCAGAAGGCTCGGAAGGCCTCAGGCCTTCTGAGAAGTTTTCTAGGCCGTCCCCAAAGACACAGAAAAAAACTTCTCAGCTGAAGGCGCGAGGGCTTCTGAGAAGCCCCGCCGCCTTCTGAGAAGGCCTTCTCCTTCTCATTTCCCCCCCGCTCGCGGCCGAGTCAGGGGCAACGACCCAGAGATCCGAGGCACCGAAAAAATTGGAGCGGCGCGATAAATTTGGTCTAGGGAAAGGGTCCGGACCTCTGGGGCAGCGCATTGAAACAATCATATCGTCGGATTCCTGGGTTCGAAGTTTGGGGACGCGTTCGTCGGTTCGCGGCGGCTCTCCAGCCTCGGGGTACTCCAGCAGCTGCGCCTCGCCGAGAGGCGGCCTCGCCTGCCTGGATCGTCCCGAACGGCAGCCAGAAACACGAGTTATGACCCAGAAGCCAGAAGACGAGGATCATTTGAGGGGATGGGCCTTGCTCTGATCACCGCGAAGGCTGCTGAGGGGTAAGGGGCCAATAAGTGGACGCCAATGTGGATTATAGGATGGTATGTACCAGCCCTAAGTGGCCGTGAAGGTGCTAGGACAATTCTGTGGAGTGCGCTCCGACCACGCGGCCCAGATGTTTGCCCCCGTGAGCCGCTGAGGGCACTGGCAGCCCACCTGCACGCTGGGCAGACCCGATACGTCCCACTTTGGCACCCACCTCCTCCTTCTCCTCCTCCTCCTCCTCCCCTCCTCCTCCTCCTCCTCCTCCTCCTCCTCCCCCTCCTCCTCCTCCCCCTCCTCCTCCTCCTCCTTCTCCTCCTCCTCCTCCTCGACCCCCGAACGCCATCGCGGACGGGGGCCCGATGGCCACCCCCGCCCAGGGGCGTGCGGCTTTTCGCCATCGGGGGGGGGGCCCACGCCGGCGCGAGAGCCGGCGGCGATCGGGCGTCGTCGCGGTGCAGCTTCGGGGGGGCCTCGTCTGCCCTGCAAAGGTCAGGAGGGAAAAAAGCACACAGACACAATTAATCGTCGATTCCCAGAAAATATGGGAAAATATGGGAATTGGGCGGGAAGACAAAAACCCAGAACATATGGGAAAATATGGGGAATATGTTTATTTGTGTGCATTTATTTGTGTGTCCTTGGGCCCCTTGAAAGTGGCGGTCCTTGGCTGGCTGCTTTCCGACGGGCGTTCGACGCGGGCTCGGCGCGGCATCGACGCGGAGCCGACGCGGATCCGACGCGACTCCACGTTGACAGCGACACGATGGGACAGACAGGGTCCCTCGAACATGCAACATAACGCGTCGGGGCCCACAGCTCGGAGGCGCCCAGATGGGTGGTGGGCACGAGGGGTTGTGGACACCATGGCCTGGCCCATCCAATCTCTCCAATGGCGTGCCCCTTCCTCTTATTGTTATGATTCCTCCTTAAACACGTCCCTTGGCGACCCCTCGTCCGCGCACATGCCTCTGGCCATGATGCGCTTAGCATTAAGTCGGGCCTGTCCCTCTACAGGAAAAAAACAAAAATAGTCACAAAATAGTCTGGGGACTATTTTCTTAACTGTTTTGACAATGTTGGAGCATTGTTTGAGTATTGTTTTATTTGTCATCGAAAATTCCCCTGCAGGGGGACACGCCCGACTTAAGCTAAGCAGCCTCTTCCTGGCCCCCCCGCTTCGGCGCACCGGGCACGACACGACGTCGACGTCGTCGCCTCTGCTCTCGAAGGCCCGCGGAGGCTCTCGCAGATTCTCTCGGGCCTTCGGGGCGCGGCGTGCTTTCCACCAGCTGCGCCTCGTGGAGCGAGCGCTCCGGGAGTGCGGGCATCGCCCCGAACAGCCGAGCTGCGGCCCGAGCTGCGGCCCGAGAGCTTCCAGGGGGCTCACCTCCGAAGACTTGGCCGGATTTCTGTCGGGCTGGGGGCGAGGCCCCCAGATCTGCAGCGTCACGGGCAGGAGGAGGAGGAGGAGGAGGAGGAGGAGGAGGAGGAGGAGGAGGAGGGGGCCAGGCGGAGGAGAGAGGAGAGAGGAGTAGGGAGGGGGAGGGGGAGGGGGAGGGGAGGGGGAGGGGTGAGGGGGAGGGGAGGGGGAGGGGGAGGGGGGAGGGAGGAGGAGGAGAGAGG